AGATTGGAAATATTTATTACTCGCGAATTTATGATTACCGGAACACATGAATTTTAACTGATCTTGTTTTTCATTTCCTGAAACTTACACGTTTTTTTTTCTAAAGAATCTCTATTGTTCGCGTTACATTTCCTGAATTTTATAGATGAATGAAAGCGCAGCTATCTACGACTAAAATTCATTTTTCTTTCTTCTATTTAAATTTTAATGCACATTTTCAGCTAAATTCTCTTTTTTGCAATTTCGTGAATTTTTGTAATAATAATATCAAAGACAATAGCAATAATAATAATATTAATAATAATAATAATAATAATAATAATAATAACAATAATAACAATAATACCTAATAATAATAACAATAATAGTGATATTAATAATAATATAATAATTAACTATAATTAACTATAATAATTTGAATGTTATCTTTCATTCTTTCATTAATTCACTTTTTCTGTCCCTTACACTCTGAAATTGTCTTTTGTGAACACATTTGTTTTTTGTTAAATTTAGATAGATTGTATATTATATTATTATTTTAAAATTATTTTTATTTTATAATTAATTCAAAATTGTAATGATAAATAGAAATCATCAGAATTTTCTTTACTCCTTTTCATTAAAAGACTAAAATTTTGTTAAATATTTTGTTTTGTCAAATTGAAATTATGCAGATTTTTGTTCTTTACTTCTAAACAAAATTAGAAAATTGTTAAACAACTGTGATTAAGAAATAAAAAATTGATTTATTTTGCATTATTTTTGTTTATGAATTACAATTATTTAACAAAATTATTATTTTGTTTTAGAAAAAGAAGAAAAATATTTGCACGATTCCTATTTTTAATCTTATTTTTAAAACAGGATTTTCCACAGGAATTAAGACATTCAAAAATTTCAAATTCAAACCTTTTTTTAAATTAAACAACTTATAAAAGTATTTTGTTATAAAACATAAAGATATCGATTGCTCCGAGTCGAAGACTCGGAGTGATCGATTTCTTCATGTTTTATAATAATTAAAGATCACCGAGAGATAAAATCATTATTTTATATTATAAAAATATTGTTACTGTAACTTCATCAAAATTATTTTCATCATTTTAATTCAATTATTATTTTCTAGAATTTTAAATTATTTTTTATGAAAATAATAATTGAATTCCTTAAAAAAATTTTATTATTTATGAAAATAATTAAATGTTTGCATACAATTTTATTAAATTTTTTTTAAATAATTGAATTCTTTTTAGGAAATTTTATTAAAATAGTAGATATTGAAAATCATTGAAATTAGAAAATTGTTTGAAAATAATTGAAATAATTAATAATAATAATAATAATAAGTTAAGAATTATAATTTATTGCAGAATTAATAATAAAAAAATGTGAAATATAAAGTAATAAAACAATTTACATAATTCCTTCCATATTTTGCACGAATATATCATCTAAATTTGGGGCTGAAAAATATGAAAGACCTTTAATAAATCGTGACATGAATGCAGCAATAAAAGAAGAACGTTTCCAACGAATTGACTTCACTTTATGCTGAGGTATTATTATTACTATATTAAAAAAGATAGTTACTTCTACTTTTTCTCCTCACATAAAATTATCTATATTTGAGCATGAAAGGAATTAGGTATATAAAAAGACTACAAGTGATAAAAATTAAACGAAAACGTTTCAGAAAAAAATACCAATTTCAATAAAACATTATATTTTGATATAAATAAATATTTACTTTATTATGATTGAAAATTATATTTTTATTATTATTATTATTATTTTCCATTTACTCTTTTTAACATTTTAATCATATTTTGTTTTTTCCCTTTTCTAAAATTAACCATAAAGTATAATAATAATAATTCAACTGTTTTAATAAAAAATTTCAATGAAAAATGAATATGTACTTGAAAAGGTTTTACTTTTTAATGGTAGAGATCACATTCATCTTGAAATAAAAGCTACTTTTCTCAAGGGGTACTTAAAAAACTACAAAAGAAAAAAAAAACAAAATAAAAGAAATTTTCCACTTTATTTTGAGTGAGAAACTTAAACAAAAAGAATTTCATAAAACTAAATTTTATGGTTTCAAAAAGTGTTTTATAATAATTCTTTGATGCCGTCTACTATTTTTTTCAAATTAGGTTCTGAAATAGGGAATAATTATTATTATGCCTGACGAATAATCCGCAAGTATTTTTTTGTAAAATATTCCAAAAAGATTCCCGTATTGAAGTATTTCAAAAATATTTATAATTTCCGTGGAATATTACGAGAATATTATTTTGTAATATTATTTACTAAACATCCTGTTAGAAAAATCAATGAATAAAATAATAAATAAATTTTAAATATTTCAGCAAATATTCCATCTGCGAAAAATACTATAATTTCCCTCAGGAAAATTCTCAAAGATCATTCTCAGTATAAAAATATAAATAAATATTCAATTGGTGTATTTATTAAAAATATTCCATGAAATTTAATAACAAAATATTCCAAATTTCATTTTTTTTTTTATCGACTATACTTAAATTCTCGTCTCCTTTTGTTTTTAAATATTTAAAATAGAAAACTACTTTTATGTATGGAAATAACAAAAAAAAAAATAGGAAAACATTTTTAATGCAAAGGAAATTGTCCTTTGTTCTCCTCTTGCCAAAATAGCTAGAGGCAGAGAGATACGTGTATAGTATTGATGTTGAATACATTGCTCACGTTACAAGGCTCTTCAACACAACAGCCGGACTACAGATTACAATTCTGAAACCAAATTGGCCATTGATTGTTCTCTTGATTAATTAAGCGTCCAATTCCTTTCAAAATTTATAACTTAACTGTCAGTTCATCTGCCAAATATACATTTCCACGTAGGGAAGATTCTAATAATACACTGCAACATTGTTTTATCATTCTTTTTACATTCTTTTATTTTTCAACTTGAGGCATTATTTTTTTACAGTATTTTTCTACTTTAATTATTTATTTTTTTGACTATTTTTCTATTTCAACTATTTCTCCATTTCAACTATTTTTCCACTTCAACTATTTTTCTATTGCAATTATTTTTCTATTTCAACTATTTTTCTATTTTATCTATTTTTCTATTTCAATTCTTTTTTTATTTCAACTATTTTTCTATTTCAACTATTTTTCTATTTCAACTATTTCTCCATTTCAACTATTTTTCCACTTCAACTATTTTTCTACTGCAATTATTTTTCTATTTCAAATATTTTTTTATTTCAACTATTTCTATCTATTTCAATTATTTTTCTATTTCAATTCTTTTTTTTATTTCAACTATTTTTCTATTTCAACTATTTCTCCATTTCAACTATTTTTCCACTTCAACTATTTTTCTATTTTAACTGCTTTTCAATTTTAAATATTTTTCTGTTTCAACAACTTCTATATTTCAACTATTTTTCTATTTCAACTATTTTTCTATTTCAACTATTTCTCCATTTCAACTATTTTTCCACTTCAACTATTTTTCTACTGCAATTATTTTTCTATTTCAAATATTTTTTTATTTCAACTATTTCTATCTATTTCAATTATTTTTCTATTTCAATTCTTTTTTTTATTTCAACTATTTTTCTATTTTAACTATTTCTCCATTTCAACTATTTTTCCACTTCAACTATTTTTCTATTTTAACTGCTTTTCAATTTTAAATATTTTTCTGTTTCAACAACTTCTATATTTCAACTATTTTTCTATTTCAATTCTTTTTCTATTTCAACTATTTCTCTATTTCAACAATTTTTCTATTTCAACTACTTTTCTATTTCAACTACTTTTCCATTTTAAATATTTTTCTATTTCAACAATTTCTCTATTTCAACTATTTTTCCAATTCAACTATTTTTCTATTTCATTTTTTTCCCATTTCAACTACTTTCAACAACTACTTTTCCATTTCAATTATTTTTCTATTTCATCTTTTTTCCATTTCAACTATTTCTCATTCAACAATTTTTTCACTTCATTTATTTCTTCATTTCAATAATTTTTGATTTCGACTATTTTTCTATTCAATCGCTTAAACAAAATCTGTTACAACATATTTTTAAAAATTTCAAAACAAAAATAAAGTTTTTTTTTCATTTTGTTCTGATTTTTATTTTATCTCTCTCTCTCTCTCTCTATTCTAACTATTTTTCTATTTTCAATCTCTTTAAAAATAAACTTTTGCAATAAATAAATAAATATATATATATATATATATATATATATATATATTTCTAAAATATCAATATAAGATAAATTTTTTTATTTCTTTCAACGATTCATCTCTCTTTGCGAAAAATTTCCAGTTGATAGAATAAGTTGTAGAAAGGTAATAATAATAAAAAAAAAGTATAACATATATCTTTCAAATATTTTATTGATCGTTTTGCAAATATGTCTTTGAGAATGACCAACTGTATCATCGAGAGAGAAAAAGTAAGGAAAAAATTGATATTTCCTTTTATTAAAACTGTCATATCCAAGAGAAGAAAAGACAAATATAAAAGCGAAAAAGATATTCGAAGTAAAAATTTTTCTAAAATGAACAATAAATTTTTGAAAATAAAAAAATTAATTTATAAAATAGATAAATTTTTTTAATTTCAATTTTTCAGACATCAGGACAAATGAAAACAATTAGAGAAGAAAAAAAATCATGTTTTCTGACTATACGGTGATTGAAGACAAAATAAAAAAAATATAATTAATTTTTTTCCATTTCCAAACCAAAGATGATGAAAAAAAAAACTCGACATTCGTGAATGTTGTAAACTTTCTAGAAAATGGAATGAGTAAATTAATTACTTTTCTTAAAGTTTTATCCTCTTCGTTGTTATATATACGTATATATATCGTCAAAGCAAAACTAGCAAGTTAAATCAAAAGTAGACGGGAAGAATTTAAATCTCATTGTTAGAGAAAGACGATAAGTTTTTTTTCTTACAACTGGAAGTTGAAAATTTTCCACTTACTTTTTTTTTGACATGAAAGCAATTATATCAAAGGAACTTTAGAGAATACAATTGATTTTCCAAATTGTGCACTTGCTGTAAAAATTCCTCATTTTCAATTTCAATTCCCAATATTCTCCTAACAATTGAAAATTCTCTTTTTTCAGTTCTTTCAAATTGAATTATTTTTTTTTAATTTAATTTATTTCTGTTTGTTCCATCTTTTTATGTTGTATTTGTATATTTGTTCTCTTTTTCGATTCTGAGCATTTTGCTACCTATGTATTTTTATTTATTTGTTTTTTAATTATTTTAATTTATTTTTATTATTTTTCCTTCATTACAGTTAAAAATAATTAATAATTTTTATCAATTTTCTTTCTTTATAATGAAAAATAATTAATAATTTTTATCAATTTTCTTTCTTTCTAGTAAAAAATAATTAATAATTTTTATCAATTGCTGTATTCGATTTTCCGCATTTTTTACAGTAAAAAAAATCAAGAAACAAATTACTAACTCTCGTTGTTTTGACAATTTTTTTTTTTAGAAACATAAAAATCCTTCTTTCACTAAAAAAAATTTTATTAACTTTTCAAGCGGGAATTAATTTGTGAATAAAATTTTTTGAATACAAAATGGGCAACAAGTTATTAAGTCTCGTAAATATAGAATTTTATTGGGATGGAAAAAACTATATACTTCGATCGGTTTCAAAGTCGCGGCTCTACTGATGAAAATGTTTCTTGTCTCTTTTATCCCACCTCTCTCTCTCTCTCTCTTTTTGACAGGATACCTCTCTGGCTACGACGAGAAGCCTGCGCGATATGGTCCAGGATATCAATCCTGATACAAGAAGAATAGATGCATTTCTCATTCAATAAAAGTCGATTTTATATAAATTATGCTTTTAATTTCAAAAAATTTCAATTTTCAAAAATTTCTTTACTATTTCAAATAAGAAAAAAAGTATTTAACTAATTTTTTAAATTAAAACAAATTCAAAAATAAAATTATCCAATTTTTTTCTTAATTAAAAATTTTATTTTAAATGTATTAAAAATATATTTTTTAAAATAGTAATTTAAAATATAATTTTTTTTCCAGAAACATAGTTTTTCATAAAATTATTATCAATTACATTCTAATTATTAATAAATCCAAGTAAAAAGGGCTTAAAATAAAGTTAAACTTGAAATAGTTTAAATAATTTTTGAGGGACTTTAATTAACTGGAAAATCGAAAAGAATTTGAAAATCTAAAGAGTGTTTTATTTCAGTGATAATATCCAGTTGGAATTTAATTTCCACGTCATGGAGTTTAATTAGAGCAACGATTGTTTTAATTAAATGCAAAGCAGCGTTGACAAACGCTAATCTTTTTTCAATATGAATTTTCATATTAACATATATAATGTGAATTCATATTTGTCAATAATAAACATGATGGGAAACATTATTAAATAAATTAAAATTAATCTATTTTAAATAATATTATTAACAAAATATAAATTACAATAATTATGATAATTTATTCTTAATAATTAAATTATTTTCAATTATTAAATGTTACTGGTTCAATTATTTACATTTATAAATTTTTTACTATCAAAAAAAAAGATTAACATAATTTAGTAATAAAATTTATTATTATATTAATATATTATTAATTATTATTATTATTTTTTTTCTGAAATTCAATTTCCTTAATAAATTATGTTGTTAATAGATTAAGAATTCTTTTTCTTCAAAAGTAAAATCCTTTTTTCTAAAAGTCGCTAAGAGAAATCCAATTTAAATAAATCATGTAATTTTTTTTATTATTTTAACCTTTTTCTTATATAAGAAAAAAGCAGAATGAGAAACGAATTCCATAAAGACGAAGGGCAATACTGTATCTTTTGAACGTAAGGGTACAAAAAGAAATATAATATTGAAAAAAAATCTAAGAAATATGAATGAAAATAAATAAGTAAATGAAAAGAAGATTTTTTGAATTCAAAATCACAGCCACAAGGGATTTCTCTTTATCTTATTAAAATTTAAATTTTGCCCACCATTTTTTTTTTTTTCATAGAAATCGAAAAATGAACCTTATTTTCAAACATTATTTAAGAATATTATCCTGAAATTGTCAATTTAATTTTATAATAAACAAAGTAGTTTTAATTTTAGAAAAAATAAGATAAGAATAATTAGAATAACTTTAATTTTAGAATAAAAAATCGAAGAACTTCTTATTTTGGATGAAAATAATGTAAAAAAAGTAATTTTAATTTTAAAATAAATAAAATTAAAATGGTTATTATAAAAAATTCATTTTACAATCTCATTAAAAGTTTATGCACGGAGAACAAAAATAACAATAGTACACCTATAGTTTGGTCGAAAGTTTTTAATTTATGTAATAAACTTTTCTAAACCTCTTCTAAAACCCTTATGTTTACTTAAAAGTACAATATACATTATAAAACTTTATACAGCTAAAGCGAGCTAAAGTTTGTAAGAAAAAAAATTTCAAGTTAAAACGAGATGTGCACTGTTAACTAAAAAGTATCAGATTGCAATGAATATCAAAAATTTGGATCAAATCAAAAAGTGATCCAAATTTTGATCAATTTAATTTGTGATCAATTTAATCCACTATAGTATTAATTTGCTACTCTCAAGAAAACTGTGTGCGAAATGTAAAAATAAATTGTTCTTATAAAATTTAAGCAAAAAAAAAAAATTTTTTTTTATACAAATTGCTCTCCTCTGACTAGATTTAGACATGAAAACTTTAAAAGAAAAATATATCTTTTCCCGATTTTTCAGTTTAAATATAAAAAACTGCACACAGTTCATGCAAGTCATATAAAAGTTGCAGATCATCCATAAAAATTGAAGAATAATATATAGTGTAGTTGAGAATCGATATTAATAACTATTTCCCGTTCTAGTTTTATAAAACGTAAGATATTCACGTTCATCAGCCTTTATTTATCGATGATTTATACCTCTTTCTCTCACATTTCCCGCGGAATTTTCATCTCAAAGAAATACGTGCAGAAATGAACATTTAAATATCCATGTTTTTCACTGACATATTGCAAAGGAAAAAATTAACTTTTCTATTTATAACAAGAGGTCTATTGTTATATACGACAGTAATAAAAAATCTCTCATTTCAACAAGTACATAAGTTCTCTAAAGAATTAGTCACTCACTTTTTGCTTTTGAATTAGAAAATTTTAATAATGAATAGTAATTTTTATTAATTTATTATTTTATTTATTTATTTATTTACTTATTTATTTACTAATTTATTTTACTAATAATAAATAGTAATTTCTACTAATTTATTACAGGGCTCGAATCAGTGAAAGTATTTAAAAATTCGGACTTTACGGACCAAAAATGAAAAATTACAGACCAATTACTGAAACTACTGAATATAAAATTGGGGCATTCTCCGTCAGATTTTCACTCAAAATTTTTTTGTATTAAAATAATTTTTTTCGAATTCTATATGAAAAATAAGTAATTATGTGTTTTTTTATTTTTTTATTTGATCAAAATTATAAAAGTTATGATTTTTTTAAATTTAACATCTTCGGAAGCAAAGGATTTTTGAAACACTTTTAACTCCATTATACCAAAAGATAAAAAATAATGTAATATATGAAAATAACTTGTTTTTTCTTGAATATTTCAAATATGTAATAAAAAATAACTTTAATAAAGCGAAAACATTAAATAAATTGAAATTTCGTCTAACATGTGACTTTTCTCAAAAGCGAAGTAATCGATTTTCGATTTTTTTCTTTAATTAGAACCACTGATAAATAAAGAAATTTTTCCCACTTATGCCAAAGTGGTGTTCTTTAGGGATCAAATTATATTTAAAATTATATCAGTCGTTGCACAGATTTTACAGAAGGAAATTAAGAAATTAACCACTAAACATTCGTTTTCTTTTGTTTTTGAAGGTTAAATTTTGAAAAAGTGTAAAATTCGAATAAAACTCTGTGCAACTACTGACATAATTTTAAATATAATTTGAACCCTAAAGAACACCACTTTGGCATAAGTGGGAAAAATTTCTACATTTATCAGTGGTTGTAATGGAAGAAAAAAATCGAAAATCAATTACTTCGCTTTTGAGAAAAGTCACATTTTTGAAGAAATTTCAATTTATTTAATGTTTTCGCTTTATTAAAGTTATTTTTTATTACATATTTGAAATATTCAAGAAAAAACAAGTCATTTTCATATATTACATTATTTTTTATCTTTTGGTATAACGGAGTTAAAAGTGTTAGAAAAATCTTTTGCTTCTGAAGATGTTAAATTTAAAAAAATCATAACTTTTATAATTTTGATCAAATAAAAAAATAAAAAAACACGTATTTACTTATTTTTCATATAGAATTCGAAAAAAATTGTTTTAATCCAAAAAAAATTTTGAGTGAAAATCTGACGGAGAATGCCCCAATTACTTACAACAATAAATTAAATTTTCCATAACTATAAAACATGAAAATATCCGAGTCTTCGACTCGGAGTTATCGATTTCTTCATGTTTTATAATAATTAAAAATGACCGAGTGATAAAATCATTATCAATTCAATTATTATTTTCAACAATTTTTAACTAAAATTCTTCTTTAAATCAATTATTTTTCATAATTTTCGAAAAATTTCTTTGACAATTTTCAAATCCATTTGTTTACAATTCAATTTTACGAAATTTCAATTATATTGCTTTATAGCAATATAATTGAAATTAATTAATATTCAATTATTATCTAAAATTAAAACTGCAATTCATTTCTAAATCAATTTTGATTAGAAAATTCTAATAGAATTCAATTATTTAAAATGCAAAAATAAATAATTTATTGAACTGAATTTTATAGACAAATTTTTAAATAATTGAATTCAATTATTTAAAATGCAAAAATAAATAATTTATTGAACTGAATTTTATAGACAAATTTTTAAATAATTGAATTCTTTTGACGAATATTATTAAAATTTTGAAAATAATTGAATTGTTTCGATGAATTTTAATATTTATACAAATAATTTAATTTTTGAGAAGAATTTTATTAAAATTTTGAAAATAAAATTGAATTGTTTTAATATTTATACAAATAATTGACTTTTTTCAAAAATTCCATTTAAATTTTGAAAATAATTCAATTCTTACGAATATTTTTTTATTTCATCAAAATAATTAAATTTTTGC